TCTGGACCAGACAGAGCAGATGTGGACTGATCCTGCCCTGTTCTTAGCAGCATAAACAGGCCCTGAGGTCTGCTGAAACATGGGAGCCTCAAAGCCACATGGCCCAGGGGTCAGGCAAGGCTCTGTCCCCAAGGCACACAGCTAGGGAGAGGGGACACCGTCTCTGAGTGTGGGTGGGCGCCAGCCCCTTGTCCACCTGTGCTGTCCCACCTCACGCTGCATGGCTGCCTCGCCCATGGGATGGAGGGAGGTTTGGGATGTCTTCAGGACTCAGCAAGTGTCTTTCCAGGATTTACCACCCTGAGGGCTGGGTCAGGCCAAGCTAGGAAAGCCCTGCAGCACCCAGGGTCCTGATGCTCAGCCTGGCAGAGGAGCCCGGACTACCACAGCCCCTTGTCACGGGAAGCAGGGGCTGCCGCACCCCCAGGAGCTGTTTGCCTCCAGGGCCCTGCCCCAGCACCTGGAGATGAGAGCTCGCTGCAGGGGAGGTGCTCAGAGATCATATGGTGCTTTTTGCACAACAAAGCCATGGGCTGCTCCTTTATCTTGTTCTCCCTCCCCTATTATCAATAGTTTTTCTGGTCCGACTGGATTTCCCTGCTGCCACATCCCCAACAAAGGGAGAAGGTCCACACAGCAGAGGTGAGGAGGGTGAACCCCCCACCCCTGCGCACTGATGGTCTGCCCCAAACCTCTCTGCAATTGGGGAACATAAATAGCATCTGGTGAGTCACCAGCACAGGTTTTTTTGTGCTGGCCTAGAGCAGGCACATGCCTCTGCTACACTCCCAGGGCGCCCAGTCAGCCAGGGCTGCTCGAGAGTGACACATCCAGAGGGAGCACCCGCTCCATGCTGGGAAGCCGGGCCCTGGTGTCCAGCTCTGGCTGCTCTGTGCCTCGGTTTCTTGCCTGGGAAGAAAAGAGACAGGAGTGACAATCTGGATGTGCCACCATGGCACAAGGCTGCCTTGGAGCCATGTGTGGCACACGCAGTGGCTCCCTCTGGCACCTGGTTGGGTTTGGTCTTGGCTGCCTTTCAGGCTCTGAACGGCAGGGTTGGGCTGACCAGGAGTGGGGACAAGATGGGCTCTGCACCGCACACCACGCTCATCCCCGAGGCGTATCCCCGTCCCCCAGCCCAGCAAGTCCCCGTCCGCTTCCTCCTGCTTCAGCCCCAGTCGAGGAGCTACGTGCCTGTGAACACGCAGCAGGACACAGTCCCTGCTTCTGCTAGACAGGTGAGCAGTCATACCGTAAAAATGAGATGGAAACCAAACAAGAGATTCGAAGCCCTGCCAGGAAGGTGACACCGTGAGAGCTCCTGGGTGACAAGTGCATTTGTCTCTCGCAGCCCTGCAGGGAATATCTAGAGGCTGTTAACTTCTGGGGAATTCAGGGAGGAGCTGGGCACAGCTGTACTAATGGCTCATGGTAATCACCGACAGCTTCACAAAAAAGCAGGGCTGATGCTACAGCAGCTTCTGGACACGCTAAAGCACAGTTGTGTATTTCTTCCACAAATCAGACATCTCTGTTTAAATCCGTCAGACCCTGGAACTCCTGGCTGGCAGCAGGGAAAGATGCTGGCACTGGGTATCGTGTCCGTGCATGAGGAGGAGTTGCTGTGTCTGAGGCATCTCTCAGGATGTCAGACCCGATCCTACCATAGGTCCCCTCTGCTTGTGCTGCCTTCAGCGCCATGCCACGTTGCACAAGCCGAGGCTGCACCTTTGCACACACTTTGCAGCTGCAAGGGTGGCACTCACAGGTATCAAACCTCTTCTATGCATGTCCCTACATACCCCAAAGAGCTCCCAGGCCATAAACCCTATGGGCAGGTGGGCATTATAAAGCGAAGGACACTGGGGGACAATAGTCTGATGCAGCGTGGGCAGCTGCAGGGCTGTGCACAGCACTCTGACATGGCCTGTGCCAAACCTGGATGTGCCAGACACAGCACGATGCTGACAGGTCCCTGAAAAGGAGCTGCCACCTGGTGGCACTGGGACAATCCTGCTGGCCTGCCAGCCGCAAGGACCTGGATGGGGACATTTGGGGTGGCCCTGCACCGTGGCACCGACTGTTCAGCTGCACTGGGGAGGCTGGGGCCGCTCCGGCACAGCCCAGCATTGTTGCTTTCGCCCTGGGACACACACCCAGGTGGGGAACTCATCCAAGCCCTGAATCCTGGCTCTTGCCAAGGGTGCTCCAGCTGTAGCTGCCCTCCACAGGTTTTGCTACACCACTTTGTGCCAGGCTAGAAGCTGGCAGGCAAATGCCACCTCCAAACCCCCTCGACTTCCCGTGGCCTCTCCAGACCTGATGCCACAAGGTCAGGCAGCTCTGGTGAGATGTAGCTGGACTTGTGCTCCCCATTATGTCCCCCCATGTGCGCTGCACCTTGACCAGCCCGCCATGGGATGGGACACCTTGGTGCAGGGTGGCCAAAAGCAAAGTGAGGAGGCGAAGGAGACCGTCAGGTCAGAGCCACTTTTCTGGGGCCAGAGAAGATGTGGTTTAGAGCTTGCTGGGAATCTCCAGACCACAGCAAAGGGCCTTCTCCAGCCAAGACTATCCCTGATAACACCAAACTATGTCAGCTGTGCTGAGAGGAGAGCCTGGAGGCAATGGGCTCTGCTGGTGGAGAAAGCCTCCAGGGAAGTTTCCTTCCCTTGACTCTGGGAAGCCTCAGCTGCAAAGAGGAGCTGGGCACCAGGGGAAAGCAAGGGCTGGGGGCCACCAGCCCATCCCCAAAGACTCCTCGCCCACCACAGTCCCCTTGCTCAGCGGGACTCAGCCCCATCCCACTTCCCAGAGGAGAGGGAAACAAAAGAGGAGGAGGGGGAAGGGAAGGGTCTAAGAGAAACTTCTTCCAACTTCTGGGGAAGAGAAAAGCCCTATTCAGGCAGGAAGAATACCCGTGTGGAGCTGGTCACTAAGCAACCCGCAGCAATTTGGCACGGCCCGATGCATGGGCAAGGAACAAAGCTGCCTCGCTGCCCACCGAGAGACCAGCCGGGCGAGTGCCAGGCAGGGAGAGCCTGTAGGGCCTGGAGACAGGGGACACCAGCCGTGCACAGCCACTGCGAGGGGCTGAGACACCCAGCAGGGTCCAGAGCTCCTGGGTGCTGCGGGAGTTTGTCCTTGGTTGACTCTGGAGCACAACTAGCCTCCACTGGGCTCCCCCTTCACGGGGAGGCCATTTGCTGCTCGGGAAGGATATCTGGTCTGCTCCAAAGCCCGTGGCTCCCCATGGGTCTGGTGTTCATGCGGGGCTACATACATCATTCCCAACAGAGGCACAGTGCATTTTGGATAACTCCCTGCTCCCATAGACACTGCAGGGCTTGTATGAGCAGAGCAACCAACGCAGGCTACACCCTCTCCCAGTTAAGCCGAATTCTTCATTCAGGTTATCAATGTGAGGGGTTGTCCTTTGCAAACAAGCTTAGTGAGACATGAGAAACTGCTTGGCCTCTCTGCAGCACAAGGAAAAAAGGGACAAAGGAAATCAGGCCTGACAAACCCTGCTGACAATCCGTGCCAAAATGCCTCCCTCGGAGCCTGGGGAGTCCCTGGAGATGCTGCTGTCCCCAACAGAAATGTTGGACAAAAGGAAAACCGCTCGCAGCCAGAGCAGGTCCACTGGGACCAGACGGTGTGCAGCTGGGCCCCAATCCAGAGCCTGAGCAGCCCGGGGAGATGCACTGGACCTGCCTGGACACTGGAGGTGGCTTTTCGCCTGCATGGTGTCATGGGGGAAACATCCAGCCCTTCACGCATTTGTCTCCAGTATTTGATAAACTTGGAGAGCAGTTGCTGGGACAAGGACAAACTCACCAGGTGTTTACCCACTTCCTCAGGGAAGTGTTTGGCCAGCTCTGACCCCTGTCCTGCCATAGCAAGGTGAGCATGTGGGGGATGGTCAGGTATGTCCACACAAGCTGCAGAGCACCTGCAGATGGAGGTACTCTCATTAACACTCAGTCCTGCCCTTTCCTGGCTTCATCATCCACTATCTCAGCCTTTAAGCAACTGCTTTGGACGCACACTAAATAACCACAACCCACAGGGCTGCAATGAAAAAATCAGCTTGGCCAAAGTAGTGCTGTTTATTTTGCTTGCAAAACCCCTTTCAGAAGGCCAATACACTGCAGGCTTGCTGGCTGCAGCCAGGCTCCTCTCAGCGCGATGAGGGACAGGCACTCCAGCCAGCAGCAAGGACGGACAGCATCCATCCCTGGACTTGGAGAGCTCCTACCTCCCCTGGCAAGAGGGCAAACACAGCGCTCCTGGCACAGCTGGGAGCCAAGCGTGCCAAAGCCCAGCTAAGCAAGGACTTGGCACACCAGGACCGTGACAAAACATTCACATGTCCTGCAGCCAGGGGAGCCCCAGCGCAAGAGGCACCAAGTCCGGCATGCCTACTGCACCATGGAGAGCATTTACCTGCCCTTGAGCTGATGGTGGTGCTCCTTCGGAGGTGTCATGATGAGGCCGCACTGGGAAGCGGAAGTGAGACTCATCCTTTCTCAATTAGTCACCTGGAAGTGTCCAGTCCATCCTTTTTATCTGCAGGAAGCAGAGTGAGAGCAGCACCTCCAGGAATTAAGTCAACCTGAGACCGGATCTGTGTGTTCACCTCCATCCACTGGCTGTCGAGGGCACCTGGTTAGACAATACACTTGACTCCAAGATGGGCACCACTAATGGAGAGAATCCACCCAGAACAGAAGTAGCCCCAGCCTGAGGAGCATCTCCTTGCAAAGAGAGAAAAGCTGGATGAAGATGCAGGACACTGGACCATACGCTACCCAGATCCATCTTGGATTCTTCTCTCCCAGTACCAGTGCTTACAACCATCAGCAACAGTCTTGCAGCACAGCCAGATGGGACTTCGTTGTTGGTGTGCTGCATTTTCTTGCCGTTTTTCTCCTGGTCTGTAGCATTTGCACATTTGTAGAAACATTGTGAGAGAACAGAGGTGCTGAAGGAGGGAAATATCTTTGTGGGGATGAAATGTGCCTGGAATTCCAGAGCTAACCTTGGCTCTGGTGGTCCTCTTCCATTCCCAGTGAGGTGGTGTTGAGATTTCCCAGGCAATGGCCCTTGCCACACAATCAGGATCTCTGGTAAAGCTTCATGATATTCTTGGCATGAAGCTTTTTCCACACCTGCTTCTCCAGGTTGAAGTTGTGGTTAGTGTCGAAAATCAGACGTTGCCAGTCCTTGTCGTAGTAGTGATCCGAATACTTCTCATGACCCTCTGTGATGTAGCCATAGGCACTCACCTGGGAAAGATGGAGGGCTCACTGGGGAGAGGTACCAGACATGGAGGGAGCCAAGTGAAATACAGGACACAGTTCCCAAATGGGGAGGGAGCACAGGACAGGAACGCCAGTCAGGACTCCTCTGGGGTGACCCTGCATGGGGGTCCAGAAGGATCACACCATGAACACTGGCTCCAGAGAGCCTGCTGTCCTCTCACTGCCTCTCTGGGAGGCAGGATGGCTCTCAGGCCACAGCAGGCTTCACCACCTCTGTGTAAACTATTTCGGGGCTGTTTTTCTTGTCTTCAATCTGCTCCTCCACAGCTGACAAGAACCCATATACCCTCATGGCAGATGGTAGGCAGGGTTGGAGCCACCCCTGCTCTGCCCTGTTATCCTATCCCCCCTTCCAGACAGTGCTGTGTGCAAGAATCATCATGCCCTTACCCAGTCACAGAGATGGAGGGCAGTCAGCAGCAGGAAGGCCCCTGTTGTGGGTCTGTACAGCCACCAGTAGGGCTTTTCCAGACTTTTAGATTTTAAAAACCTGCAGCAGGAGAGAAGGAAGCACAGAGCAGTTGCTGGGTGTGGTGGTTCGAGCTGGGCACACCTTGTCCCCCTGTGGCCTGTGTGGCATCCTCCCTCCTTGCAGCAGTTTGTGGCCATATGAGGCATTTCAGACAAGCCATGAATATGCCCACATGTGTGGGTACTGCTGCGTGCTCAGTAAAGCACAAGGCCAGCCCAGAATGCTCCATCACCTGCACTGCAACCTAAGCTCAGCTCTGCCCCAGCTTTATGAAAGTGGTAGGTTTTGAGGCAGTGGGGATAAAGAGGGGGTGGATTAAAGGATCTAGTATGTTAAAGCCCACTCTTAAATCTGTCCTTTGCCTTGCAGTGCAGAAGTGGCTTTGAAGCTCCCTGGTATATCCTGCTCCCCATCCACATTTAGGAGTGAAATGAGACATAGGAAAGGTGCAGAGGAGGGTCACAGAACCCGCTAGGACCTGCAGTGTTTTGTGCCAGCAGTTGCTAGGAAGGTAGGAGTCCACACCAGGAAAAAATAGCATTTGAGCCCTCTTGGCCTTGGAAAGAACCCAAGTCAGAGGGGAGATGGCAGAACGAGCAGGGAGGTGCAAGCCATCTGGCGCTGCATTTGCCTTCTCTCAGAGAAGGCGTAACTCTGCTCTCAAGGAGACCGAAGGGTAAACGCAGCCAAAGCAGGGCACAACAGCAGCTCTTCTTCCTACATCTCTTGGTCACGTGTGGCCCACGATTGGCAGATCTTGCAGTGACAGTGTCCAGCAGGCTTGTGAAAAGGATTAGAGAGAAAAGCAGCCAGGCCAGGCAAATGGGATACTGAAGAAGTGCCTATTATCATGTTTGAGGGCACAAATGACTTCCCGAGTCAAGAAGGGCTGTTACAGAGCCTTCCTCCAAGGTGCTAAGCAACGGGGAACATGAAAGGTTGGTCCTGAACTAGATCAACTATTCTGGCACTTTAGCAACACTTTTCCCACATCTGAAGTTGCCATTTGCCCAGGACCTCTCTTGGATGCAGAAAGCCAAACTGTCCAACGGCTGTTGCTTGTCCAGCTCACAGATGCTGGATGTCTACCCACCACTAACATCCCACTGCAGCACCACAGAGAATTTTAACTGACTGCACGCTGACGAAGCTTACCCCCAATCTGCTGGTGTGGCTAAACTGCAGTTACAAGGGAGTGAGCTGAGAGGAGAGAGCCCAGAGACAGACAGAAATGGTGCTGGCCAGAAAAAAAAAGCCAGTTAGGGCACATAACTCCCAGCTCACCTGTTTTTCATGTATCTGAGGAAATCAGGGTGAACCAGCAGGTACTTGTCCATTGCAAAATCTTCATCGAATCTCTCCTGGGGCCTCTGCCTAAGGACAGAAGTGGGGAGACTCAGGACAAGCTCCTGTATTTCATCACAGCTGGAAAGCATCAGCCCTGATGCACTTGGTGATAAGAGAAGAACCACAAACACAGTTAAGTTATTCTGCAACATTTCCCAGATTATGACAAAGCCTCCATAACCTGCGTGCATTGCAGAGGAAGAGATCAGGGAGGAGAGGCAACAACAGGAGACAAGAATATCAAATATAGACAAGAATTGGTGAAACCAGGCCTTCATCCATGAGTAGGCCACCATGTACAGACACCAGACCTGACAACAGCATGTGTTCATCCCAGAGGACCACAAAGCTTTCTCCAAGCTCCGGCCACGCATCATTGAAATCAGCTACTTCTGGGAAGGAGGTGTATTGCTTACAGCAGTGCTTGGAGTTGTGGAGGAAACAAGACATTTCTCCAGACAAATCTGCCAGGGGAGGGAGGCTTTAACCTGGCTTTACCCTGGCCTGCACCTCAGCAGGGCTGAGCACTGTGGAGAGGAAAAGGGCACAACAGAGAGCTCCACACTGAAGGGTGTAGAGGTGGGGCCAGTTTGTTTTACCCGTAGTGGTTCAAGAATCCTTCCCTGATGTTCTTATCGACAGAAGAGCCTTCAGCCACTCACAGTCTCTAGCTCCCTCCAGGAAGTGAATGTATCTGACATCCTAAGAAAACAAGTGAACATTAATGAACAGCGCAAGAGAGACACGTCCTTTAAAAACAAAAAGCAAGTAGGCATCTAGGATCACTGAGCTTCTCAGACACACATCTTTGATCTGCAGCTTTTAACTATCCCACAAAAGCGGAATGGAGAAAACATCTGATGTGCAGCTACTTGTACATGCCAAAAGGCTGGGGTAGGACTGACGCAGCTTGCCACTGCAAATACTCACTCCAAGCCAAGCCAATGCAAGTTCCCTCACTAAGGGTAACGCTAAAGTGTTAGCTCAGCCCCTCTGCTCCTCATGCATGGCAAGATCAGAACTGAAGGCCACAGACTAACAGCATCCCGTCAAAGCTGTGCATGCATACAGCATGGACCTGACTTACTTTTCCCTGTGGGATGTTGCTGAACCCTCTGTGTCCCAAGATCTAGAGAGAGGACACCAGGGAGTAGGCTGTGAATCCATAAAAGGAGGTTTTTGTTCCCACACCTTTTTCGTAACCTTTGGTTACAGCCCTGCTCACCCTGGCCAAAGAAATCAGAGGAGCAGAGTTAGCAGGTGACCATTGAAAACCCTCGCATCCATGTTTATAACAGGAAAAGACAGCATTAGTCTGGAGTAAGGGAGAATTAAGCCCATTTTGAGCTACACCTCTTGATCTGTAGGAGAGCCCCTGCTTTGGAGATGGCTCTTTATGGCTCATCTGTGAACCTAGGCTCTTCCTGTGTGTTTAGGAACTTTCCAATTCCTTTTTGATTTTTCATCTCCTCCTGCCATCAGTCATTTTGGCACTTGGGAGTCAGTGCAATACTAGAAGAGGTGAAGTTATCCAGCCGTAATTATCTGCCAGCCAGAATAAGCTAGCTGTGTCTCTTTTAAGAAGGAAGCCTGCCTTACCGGAATGGGAGTCGATCTCCTGGCCCATCCCAGAGTTATTCAGTATTCCTCCATTCCCACAACAGCACAGCTGATGCATGTTGGCATGCTGCTGTTGCTGTTGGCCAGGAGCAGCTGCTGGTGGGGATTCGGGGGCAGCAGGGACATGACCTCCTCCACCACTGTAAAGCAAACATGGTGGAGAGTTAGCATCAAGAGCCTTTGGGATGGACACAGTGAAACCACCAGAGTTTCCACCATGAGATCCACCTAGCTTGATGCCTTTGACAGGGAGATGCTGCAAACCTCCAGCTACTTGGCATAAGGTTCCTGTTGGGAGTTTGATGGTCCCATCCTGACATGCTCTGAAGGACTCACGTGAATAATTCAGCTCCATCAAGCCATATGGAGGTGCAAAATGCTCCAGGCGGTCCCACTCACTGTTATTTAAGTATCTCTTGTCTGTGAAGAGCATGATGTTGGGCAGGAAAAGATCTTGCAGCCAGTCAGACTTGGCAGCTTTGCCCTTCACCGATTCAGAGCAGGTCTTGAAAAACAAAAAGAAAACAGTAACTGATTAGCAGGGAGCTGATAAACCTGACACAAGCCAGTGCTTGTGTGCCTTTGTGTGAGAGTATCGGAAAGAAGCATAGGAACTACAGTGGCATATCATCCATTCCCCTCAGTGTCCCCATCACCATGAACATGCGGCATAATTTCAGCACTACATCAGTAACTAGCTGGCGGAAAATTACCTACAAGGAAGCCAGAGCAACTCCAGGTCTCTGAGACTTTCCTCTTCAGAACAACAGGCCTGCAATGCTCACATGTTTTACTGGCTTTGGGCCTCGTTAACTGATGCACATTAATATCTGTAATAGGTCTAACCGAAACATAACAAATAAGACTAGCAGTCCCTGTTGGCAACGCACCTCACAGGGTCCCGGCCTCAGAGTGCACATGAGCAAACACATTGAGGAACATGTGAGATCAGATCACCATTATCACTCCCTTTAAAGAAAAAGTGTGCAAACAACTTGTTCACGTCATAAATGAATCACAGAGAAGCATGTGGCTGAGAAGGGAATTCAAGCCAGCTTATCCTCCCTAACAAGAGGGGTCTCATTGCAGCTGGCCAGAGTTAGGCTGTGTGTGCAGATGGAGAGCAAACAACTCCATTGCACTGGATTTTCTGCTGAGTCAATTTGGGCTCTACTTTCTTAGACATCTTCCCCAAATACCTACTGCAATACCTACTGAAAGACAAAACAGGAGACCAAGTAGATCTGCATGCCCAGCTGAAATCCCCAGCAATGACCAGACTACATTGCCAAAGCCTTGCTGTGTGCTCCACAGCTGAGCCGGGCTTTCCGCTACGGGTGAGGATGACAATCCAGTCACAGCCTGAGGAGAGAGCCCTCATTCTGCCTGTCACAACAGGAGTGCAATGAGAAGAACATTGTGGAGGGTTTCATGTTGGCATCATTTCACCTGTAGCACATTTCATGTCCAGAGATGGGGACATTCCCTTCCTGCTCAAGCCGTACTTTGTACTGTCCAAGGCTTGGTACTTCTTGTGCCTCCACAGCTAGACTGGATCAGTATCAGGGGAGCTAGGGAAAAGTCTGATCATGTAGGAAATGAAGGAGGCGGGAGTGCTTCTAGTCACTCCCTCTCTCTGCAGAATTAGAGATCAGGTTTGGGAACGAGACCCAACATGTGATGTCTGGATCCACATCTTCACTAAAGACCCTTCTGTGTGCATTTTCTCCTCTTTTCCATACTGAGGAAGGGTCTTCCCCACTGCGTCAGCTCTGAGGCTCTGCAGCCTCAGTTATAGTGGAGGATGTTCTCAGTTTTGTGCCGTGAGCTGCTGTCTGACATTTTTCTGCCAGCTCCTGCTCTGCACTTCTGAGACAGCTCATCAGCTGAGAAGACAGAAGCATCTGACAGTTGCTGAGCAGGATCCTGGTGACCTAACCCCACTGTGTCTACAGGAGGTAACACTCAGCAGGAGGGGTGAGGTACTGTCTCATGTGGCATATGCACTCTTAGCCATGTAATTCGCCTACTCCCATTTGTATTCCGGGTGCCTCGAGACCATGAGGAGCCCAGGAAGGATGCATATCCTGCACCACAGACTGGATCATCTGCCAAGCCCTTCTGCTAAGCCCTTCTGCTGTGACTCAGTAAGGCTGGGCCAGTGCATGAGCTCAAGTGTTTAACAGCCAAGTTCCACATTTAATAGTCACATATCTTTGGAGAACAGAGGTATCTTTGGGGCCAGCTGCTCCTCTCAAGCAGCTCAATGCCACACTAAAGAGCACATCCCGTCAGCAAAAGAATGGCTTGCACTGCCCAAAGGGGCAACGGGGAACAACATCAAAATACCACAAGGGAGAGAGAACTCAAAAATAAAACATCAAAGCCATAAAAATAATCCTAGGATTTTTTTATCAGCCCAGTTCATCTACCTCTGCTCTCTGCATGTCTCCCAGGGCATCCTGGGCACCCTGGGGTGGGGAATGGGATTAAATTTTTCAACAGTAGCCCCTGCTCCACCGGGAGGGATCTGAGAGGAACAACATGGTGCCTGCAGCCCTGACAGTCCCCTGGCGCAACATCTATATTCCCCCTAATGCCACCAAAATGACACATGGCAATGGTGGAAGATTGCAGCACTGAGACTTTAAATAGGCAAATGGTTCATCTAAGACCACCGAGCTAGAACAGGTGCTCCCATCCTCTGCTCACATGCCTACACCCCCCCTCCTCCCTGAGCACATAAGCAGTGTGTAAAGGCCACTTACACCCATGTATAAAGACCTTCCTCACTCTAGAGAGCGTTACCCACCTGTCTAAGCCTTCCAGCAACAGGGGTGCCAGGGAAAACTGCTCCGGGTAAGCCTTACAAAGAGTTACCAGCATAAGATGGGGGACAGAAACAGTATTGTGCACCACAACCTGCCCCATCTGCTTGCTGAGAACTTTGCTATAGTTTATGACTTTCCTAAAAGTCCTGTTCCTGGACCCGAGTAATTATGAGATGCTCAAATTTCATTTTAAATTAGTTCCAAACCCTCATAGCTACAAAGGAAAGGTCAAAAATATGGTCAGAACAAGAGTTCAGTGCAAAACAGAAAAGAAAAAGACACGCTTTCAATTCCATGGTTGTTAAGACAACCTCATGGTGGGCACCAACTTACCATTTTGGAAGATCACATCAGTAATATGACCTACACAGGCAGAGGTGATCACGAGAACTAACCTACAGAACACCACTTCCAAGAAACAGGATCTCTAAGAAAACTTGGAAGCTGTAGCTGTGCAAGTGCTAGTGCTTTGACAGGTATAACTGTATTATTTGAGATTCTCATCTTCACCTCTACCAAAATACTTTACCTGTGCTGACCGGGCCTACAGTTGTTCCTATTTAACAAAGAGGAACAAAGCAAGACTTGCTGAATGCCAGATCTGTTCTGAATTATTTGCTCTGCTGTGATGATGGTTCAATGCATAGCAAGAAAATCCTACATAGCAACGTAACATACTAGGACCATCTGAGTTGCGGAGCTCTGAATGGGTAAAGAATCTGCTTGTTCACTATGGGTGTCTACATACAGGGTGGAAACGGTGAATTGGCAACACCCAGGAAAGACTCTCCTCTTGTTGACAATAAACCACAGGAACAATTAAAAAAAGTTACTTTTTAACCGTCATTTCTCCAACGGGGTGCACACTTACACATAGTTGAATTTTCGCCAATATTGACACAAAACCTTAAAGATGAGAACGGTCCCCACCCTACTGTCTCCAAAGCAGGCAGGTACATGCTTATCAATACTCACCTAATCCTTTTTCTTTGACCTTATTTTAACTTAAATACAAGCAACTACCAAAAGCCTCCGTTCCTGTGCACTGAGACCCTCCTCACCATCACTGCCAGTGTCATTCTTCACAGCCTAGCACAGCACAAGCATCACTGCTGCCCCACCGCTGCCAAAGCCTTTGACTTGCTTTGGTATGTATGTGCTTAGGTGAACAGGCACACGGAGGCATTCTTGTTCCCTCACTGTGAACCTGCTTGTTTTCTTTAGCTGGGCTGCATAAAACAAAGACCAAGGCAAATCTGGGGATTGTAAACCTGAGCCTTCATAGGAATGCAGATGTTCAGTCTCCCATGAGATCGGGTGAGAAATGGGACACCTATACGAAGACTGCCATTTAGTGCCAGACACCTAATGCCTGCCCGTAGACATCACAAGACTAGGTGTGACCCAACTTACCTTAGGGTGCCACGTCACAGGGAACATGGACGCTGCATTGCATGCCTACGTCCCCTACGCAATATATCAAGGCACCTAAGACTGGGACCACCTTGTAGCATATCTAGAAGGAGAGATATTTTCCCCAGCTTCTGATGCACCTGAGCTCCAGAAAGGGTTCTCAGGGTGACTTTCAAAGGAACCCACGGAAATGCATGCGATTGCAGTAAGTTCCCATACTGGAACATGATGAAGGACTGGCCAGGCTAATTGAGTCGTACATATAGGTCTCCCTCTCTGGGTCCAAGCAGTATCTGCATATTCCAGTGAGCTGACCTACCAGCTTGGAGATCATCCTTGACTGCAAAGGGCACACATGCCCAGGGGACAGCAGACAAGGAGGTCAACAGGGAGGCATCATTCTTGGCAAATGCACACAGCCATCACACCTACCGATAGTGGAGATGAGATATCCAGCAGGTACTTGTCCTCAAAATCCCACCGCGGCTCAGATTTGAAGTCAGCAGCCTTCAGTTTCTTCTTTTCTGTCACTGCAACAGCCTGAGGAACAGGTCTTACAGTTTTCACTGATGCAGGAGGCTCTTTTGGCTTTGTTTGGTCTTTGGAGATGATGTTTTCACGAGCTCCCTTCACCCCAGAGGATGGTTTCACTGTTGCCTTCTCCTTGGCTCCCTCCACCCTGGGAAGCAGTTTCACTGTTGTCTTTTCCTTGGCTTCTTCCACCCCTGGGGCTATTTTTTCTGTTTTCACTGTTGTCTTCTTGATTCCCTCCAACCCGGGGGGTGGTTTCACCAGAAGCCAGGTTCTCCTTGGCTTCTTCCACCCTGGCAACTGGTTTTGTCATTTTCTTCTGCTCCTTCTTTCCTTCCCATTTTGGTGTCCTCTCAACCATATCTTGTTCGAGCCTTGTGATTTCTCTTCCCAAATTCACCTTTAAAAAGCTCCTTGAGTTCCCATTATCAGAACAGTTTAAACCCTGTTGCTTTTGGGTGTCCACTTGCAGCGTATCGGGGGCATGTTGCAAAATGCTCAATTGCCTGAATGCAATCAAAGGAAAAGCAGACACATCACACACACTTTCCACTGAACACCTTCCAGCCCACCTACTGCTCTTGGCTCTGAGCCCCTCTCTGTGCTTCAGAGCAACCGTTGCACATGACCAGGACACTCAGAGGACTTGCCTTGGCAACTGCCACTGAGTTTCTGCAGGATGTTCTATGAATTCAATTTCATTTTCAACTTTGCCACCCAAGTGTTATTCAGCTTCCCACACTATTCTGGCCTGAATACCGCTTATCTCCCCACTAAGCGAGTCCCAGAAGCTACACACTCCTCTTCAGCACTTGGCTCATGAAACATCCACACTGGCAGTAACTGCAAACCAACACAGAACAGCTTTGCCCTGCACTGGGCAGGGCCCCTGGCAATGTCCACAGAGCACTGCAGGACTGTTTCGGGAGATCCTGAGTTCAGAACACGGCACACACCATGAAGGCAGCCATCTGGCTCTCTTCTTTGCCAGCAGAGCCAAGTGCTTCAGTGACAGAGCATGAAGATCTTCCAGAATTCAGTAAGGGAAGTCTAATAGGAAGTGAAACTCAGTCCTTTACCATACATCACTTCTTGAGTATTTGGGGCCACAAGGCACTTTTTCCTCTCCTCCTCGCCCTTAGCCAGCTAATGCAATGGCATCACACAGCACTCGCCAGGTACACGTCTTAAGACAGGCACTTTGAAGCTATTAAAATACACTCTGAAGCTTAAAAATGTGAAGTCTCTGCATTTTCAGCAATCGCCTCTAATATTGCAGCTGCCCTGTTGTCTGATTCAAAGGCACAGGCAGGCACAAGGATATCATAGGAAGATACAGCTGCCAACAGCAGAAGAGCCACCTGCAACAAGACTGGGCTGAAATCCAGCAAAAAGAACAAGGCAGAAGTGGTGGGGTTTTGTCCCAAACATTCATTCTTACCTGCATGTGGCTGGAGGGTCGAACAGGAAAAAGGAAAGTGAAAAATTTCTGCAGCTGAGCTTTATGTACAGCAAAGCTTTTCGGGATAAACCAGCATAGTTGTGGCAGTCTGATTTCACACTCACGTTCACCCTTTGCACGACACATTTGTTTTGGAGAGCTGTGGATTGCTTCCAAGGTGATAAATGGGAAGAAAAGCACCTCTGCAGATAGCAGGCTGTAGATGACAGTTCAATTGCTGCAGAAGCTTCAGAGTGGTATGGCATTCATTACAGTGATTAGGAAATTATCAACTAAGGAGGCTTTTAAAAATCATTTTGTATCAGATAAATACTTGAACCTTTCCAGCACTATTTCTAAGAAAAAGAGGTTGTGGTAAATGGCCTATCAGCCCTTCCTCTACCTCCCCTCACAATCATTAGCCAGCTTCAACCATGTACGCAGCAGTTGCTTTCTATCATAGTGCTTCATGTATAAACTTGTGTTACTGTTTACTGCCTAATAAGAGGAAAGATTTTATATATACACTCTAAGTAAAGAGAAATTTGGTAAGGTAGCTCAGGCAGATCTTAAATCCCTGGATGATTTTCTGTTGTATTTTTAAGATGACGCTTAAAATTTTGAAATTCAAGGGCAGAGAACAAGTGAAACAGGACAGTATGACAAACCACCCCCCAACCCAGACTTTCCATATTTGCTGTCTTGCAGGGCACAGACTCCACCCCAGCTCTATTACGCTTCAATTTCAAATACTGTGCCAAACATACAGAGACCAAAATGTAAAACTGAGGACCCTTCACATCCAAAACCTTGCTCCCTGCAGCCAGACCCACATGGCCAGGCACTCGTGCCTACACAGGACCCCGCTCTCCTGACCAGCATTTTAAATCCAGACAAGCGGTCAATGCAGCTCATCAAATTTCAGGCTCTAGAGTCCAGCTGGCAAACAACTGCAGAAGCTCAATGATATTTACTGTCATTTCTCCCTCCATTTACAAAGCCCTAGGACAAATAGAGGATAAAGCCATGAAAATGCTGCTTTGTGTATTTTACGTTGCATATAAAGGTATGGAAATAGAACTGACACACAGATAACCACATACAGCTCATGCCTAGTTGTGTTTTACTTAAGTTGCAAAAATACGGACATTTCCATTATCTGAAACTACAGCAGAACGAAATGGCTTCAAGCAGCTGGGCACAGAGGGCCAGTTCTTGTCCCAGCTCTGCCACTGATGGGCTCTGTGATCAAGGACAACTCACTTCACTTCTCACACCTCCTCCTTCTCCCTGCCTCCCTTGTGCAGATTCTAACCTCTCCAAATGGATAGTTGTCCTCAAAGTGTGGTCACAAGTCACTGGAGCTGAGCTAAACTCAAGCCACCTCCAGAAGAGATGTAGGTGTTTCCAGCATCACCCCTCCTGCTTGCCCCCACAGCATCAGCCCTGAGAGGTCCAGCTGAAAACTAACCCCACCAAGACAAGCCAGACGAGCTTACCGGGAAAGCTGGGACCATGTGAGGGCTGGTGGGGAGGCTGGGGAGCTGTGCTTCCTATACACAGCACAGGGCACCAACATGTAAGTGAGCCATGCTTGTAGTAGGAAAGGCTCAGATACCTGCTGTGCTCATGCAAGGAACAGCGCTTCCTGCCAACAACGCTGGAGACATTTTACTGCAATTTACACTGCGATTTCCTCCACGCCCATTCTTGTAGAATTTACTTGACCATTTATATAAAAAGTAATGTATTTATTGATCATGTCTGCATGACATTGGTCTCCCAGTATGCAGCGTATTCGTATTAGGAATCAGATGTTTAACTTGCTATAAATTCAAAGGTATCCCACCAAATTCAATGTCCAGCAATGCAATCTGGACTAGGGCTGAAGGAGGTCCTCCCGGGAGCCACCAGAAAAAGCAAATACTATGTAGTGCCAGAATACGATAACACGTAGCATTAGTAAAGAGAAAGCTGCTTTCTTAAACAGCTGCACAAGGGAACACTGGAAACGAGCGATCCAGCAGAAGCAAGTTTTTGACTGTGGATCTTCCACCACCACGCTGCTCTGATTGTACACAACATGGTCTGCTAAAGCAAAGTGATCATCTAACTCAGATCAGAAGTGCAAGTTTCAGGGTAAAAAGACACAGAGACAGAGAGAGAGAAAGAAAGTGAGCACAAGCATTCTATCCAGACAGTGCATATCACAAGGAAGCAGGTCTCTTACCTGAAAATCCTTGTCTTTGACAAGCCAAACAAGGAGCTGAAATTAGCAATGAAGATGCAAAAGTGTGTTAAAACAATGAGCCAAATGAGGGCTCTGGGAATTTTAGGAAGCCTTCTCCTGAAAAACCACATGGTGAGATGCCTGAAAGCAAGAGGCTCTGCTGCTGCTGCCCAGAGGTGTGTTGAATGAATGGACTGGTCTACACACCCTCTCTCCCAACATTCCCAGACATTCCACACACAGATCCAATTTCTCAGACAAGACAGCAGCTTTGCACTGGTCCCGTCTATCACCCTAAGCTTATTGCAACATGGAGTGGGGAAACAAACACCTTTTATTGCAAACAATGGAAGTTTCCTATATTTTCCTTATTGAGGTTAGTCAGGTGTAAGAAGGAAACCCTTCACCTCTAATGTGGTGGAAGCATCACTGGGAACATTTGTGTGAATTATGGAAGTAGCCATAGTTACAGTCAAAGAAATTAGTTTTCAGACCACCACCTGCTCAAGGGCTCAGGCAAGATCCTAGGCATAACCATAAACAGATCTTTATTTTCTTCTTCATGCAGTACTTGCTTGTAGCTCCAATCCAGAAGCAATCCCTGCCCCCAAAAGCTGATGGCTAAAGCCATCCATTTTACCTTGTTATTGCTTTGAAACAAGTCAAAGTAAGACTCTTTGCAAACCCACCATAGAACAGAGGAGTTTGTGTTTAAAGGCAGATTAGTGCTTGGGTAAAGCATTAGAGGACAGGGCTTAGAGTCAGTCAGTCTCCTCCCTCTCTAATAAAGCCAACCTGCCTTTAGGACTACTGGAAAAACCTCAATCCAGCATTTCACTTGCCTGAAAGGTGCCAACTCCATCACAATCTAACCCTGCTATTGCTGACAAACTTTTTATGCAGGCCTGCTTGCAGCTCAGGTTCCCAAGCTGGCTCAAGAGTGTTCCACTTCAGCTCTGAGCTGTTTGTACAGACAGCAGCAATACACACTCTTCAGCTGCTCTTCTTTGTGATCTCTCAGTCAAGCCTCCTCCAGCACCAACTCTAGGACTGGTCTTTTACTTTTGGCTTTTGACCTCTTGCCGCATCGCTTCACAGCAATCACTGAGTGGCCAGAAAATGATAGCTATGTCAGCCCACCACTAAAACAGGACATGGATGGATTTGAGTCTGTGTCTAGTTGTAGAATTTAAAAGAACCAGATCACCCTGGTGACCCCCACAGTACAGCACCTTGAAATTCAGTTGGTTTCAAGGGAGCATCTAATATATCTGAATTTTTATTCCACGTAACACCAAAATATATTTTAAGTTTCTCGCATCTGTGAATCATGCCATCATGGACAGACAGACAGCTGCCTTCTACACTACTGCCCTTAGTGGGACCCTGGTCATTCGGGTTTTGTACACTACAACCAGGCTTTGCTCATCAACAGTGTCAGTTAAAACAAAGCTTCACTACTGCTATGTGCACATGAAACACTCCAAGGGTAATGAATCCCTGCTGCAACGCTAGGGGTTTGCACTACACTTGATTTGAGCCATGAGCATATTCAGACCTGGGATATGTTGCTTCTCCTTGATAGGTAGCACGTGACAATCTCTCTCCCTATCCCAAGTTCCACAATACGTACCTCATCCTCTCCTCTTCATGAAAATCAGCGGTCTGCCTGGAGATCGATCTTTGGCAGTCCAGAGTACATCTCCCCAGCAGCAGAGGGAAAGATTAGCAGAGATAAGCCAGAGAAATGCTTACCTGTACCAGAGCTGTAGTTTTACATGCTACAGCAAAGGGCTATTTTAACTCATGGGGAGCTGTTAAATATTAACCCTGACAGTTCAAAGGGAGATGGCCATATTGCTTCTTACGACATAGGCTGCTTCTGCACAGCTCTTATCAAAGATTAAGCTCAGATATAAAAAAGCTTTTGCTGACAATGTCACAAATCTCAGAAGCTAGCACTCACACTGTTACTGAATACACAGAGAACCGAAGATGTTTGCTCTAAGTTACACGAAAGCCAGTCAACAGGTTTCACACCTACCTTTACCCCTCCACGCATCACAGCAAAAAGCTGCATGGATTCCCTGTACAA